AGGGTATATTATTACGTGGATACTGGATATATGTGGAGGGGGGGGGGGCAAAATGAACTGCTTCTAGGCTGGCCTAAAGTGCCCTGGGTGCCAAACTAGTATCGGGCCGTTAGCCGTTTTCCTTCGGCAGTCAAGAGCCCTTCGCCCGCCTATCTTAATTACCGCCACGGAGGAGTTGAGCCCAGGAGAATTTCTCCTAGTTTGGCACCTAGTTAGGCCTAAAGTCCCGGTACTAGGTACAGTGCAGATTCATAAAAGGCGCAAAACTGGGTCAGCATGTGCCGGCTTGTCGCTATGTACTGCCGCAAATTCACAATACCAGTTTTCTATTCCTGCATGTCGGCCAGTATTTTTTGGCCGGAATTTTTTTATTCGCCCGCACGCACTAGTTTGTGGGTCTTCATGAGGATGTCCTTCATAAAATTAAGTCGGTGTGGCCTAAGTACATATAATTGTGTATGTCATAAATTTTTCTAATGACTGCGACTTTATTGTCCCTCCCACACGTACATTTCAGATGGTGTGGGCAGACACCACCAAACTCGGCTGCGGCTGGACACAGTGTAGCGACATGGGCGGTATTCCTGCGGACTTTCTAGTCTGTTACTACTCTCCGGGGTAAGTCTAGTATTATTATGTTTACTGAAGGAAATCATATTGTTTTTGCTCAGTTTCTTCTTCCTCTTCTTCTCCAAACAGTGATCTCAATGACCGGAACCAATGTTGTCACCATGGTAACTAGTGTAGGGTTACATCATGTTGCAATTTTATAGCAGGAGGGATTTTACGGTAACTTACGGTATACATTTGGTCATTTTGCAACTGTTTTGTACGATTTCTGTGGTTGAAAACTTTTTTATAAACGGCCGAAAATTCATGCGCGCGCGGATGTCATCCATATAATCAAATCAACGTGGCCTTATTCAATCAATCAATCAATCAATCAACCAACCAACACTGTCTCACGTTAATTCCAGGGGGAACTACCAGCTCCACGGGTGGACACTGCCACCCTACACCCGCGGGACACCCTGTTCCGCCTGCGCCTCGGACGAGAAGTGTGAGGGCGGCAGTCTGTGTGGTAAGAGACGCTTCTGTGAAATCATGTTTTGGCGCCGTCTACATGTTTCTATCTGCCTGTTTGTTTGTTTGTTTGTTTGTTATTTGTTTGTTTGTCTGTCGCTAGCATTCAGAATCAATGTCTACCCGTGGGCATGTGTGTGTCTTTTTGTGTGTTGTATATGTGAACATGGATGGCATTCAGCACCAAGGACAAACATGTTTACCTGTGGGCATGTGTGTGCGTGTGTGTGTTAATGTGCGTGTATGTTGTACATATGTGTATGACATTCAGCACCAAGGATAGATATATTTACCTATGTGTATATATCTGTGTGTTTATATACATGGATGGCATTCAGCACCAAGGACAGATACATGTATGTTTACCTGTGGGCATATGTGTGTCTTTGTGTGTGTTGTATATGTGAACACGGATTGCATTCAGCACCAAGGACAGACATGTTACTTGTGGGCATATGTGTGTCTGTGTATGTGTATGTGTATGTCTGTGTGTGTGTGTGTGTGTGTGTGTGTGTGTGTGTGTGTGTGTGTGTGTGTGTGTGTGTGTGTGTGTGTGTCTGTGTGTGTGTGTGTGTGTGTGTGTGTGTCTGTGTGTGTGTTTGTGTGTGAGTGTGTGTGTG